TTATGGGAAATAACCTTATAGTCGCTGTGTCTCTTCACAAGAGCTTTATAAGCAGGAATATTGTTACAACTTTTTTTTTTTTAATTGTTTTATTGTACTTTAGATGAAGGTTTACAGAACAAATAGTTTCTCATTAAACCGTCAGTACACGTATTGTTTTATGACATTGGTTAAGAACCCCTCAACGTGTCAACACTCTCCCTTCTCAACCTTGAGGAACTTTTTTTTGGTGAAAATAGCCAAAGTTACACCATTTCAAAAGTTTCTACATGTACAATTCAGTGGCATTGATTACATTCTTCCAGCTGTGCTGCTATTCTCACTATCCTTTTCCAAATTTTTCCATCACCATTATCTTCAACGTGCTGTCCCCTAGGCTTCCCATCAAACCTTTTGAGTTGCTGTTGTCAATTTGATCTCACATAGACAATTCTTTTTGTTGTTGTTGTTGTTGTACCTTAGATAAGGTTTGCAGAATAAATAGTTTCTCATTAAACAGTACACATATTGCCCTATGACAATGGTTAACAACCCCGTGACATGTCAACATTGTTCCTTCTCAACCTTGGGTTTCCTATCACCAGCTTTCCTGTCCCCTCCTGCCTTCTAGTCCTTGTCCTGGACTGCTGTGCCTCATTAGTCCTGTTTTGTTTTACGAGGATGTCCAATCCCCAGCTGAACGGTGAACTTCGGGAGGGGCTTCATCACTGAGCTAAAAGGGTGTCTGGGGGCCATACTCTGGGGGTTTCTCCAGTCTCTCAGGCCAGTAAATCTGGTCTTTATTTTGTGAGTTAAAATTCCGTTCCACATCCTTTTCCAGCTCTGTCCAGGACCCTCTACTGTGATCCCGGTCAGAGCTGTCAGTGGTGGTAGCCGGACACCATCTAGTTGTACTGGACTCAGTCTGGTGGAGGCCGTGGTAGCTGTGGTCCACTGGTCCGTTGGACTAATCTTTTCCTTGTATCTTGTTCTCTTCATTCTCCCTTACTCCCAAAGGGGCGAGACCAGTGGAGTATCTTAGATGGCTGCTCACAGGCTTTCAAGACCCCAGGCGCTACTCACCAAGGTAGAATGTAGAACATTGTCTTTATAAACTGTGTTATGCCAATTGAGCTAGATGTTCCCCGAGACCATG